ACTGCTGTATTTATTCGTGACAGCAATCTTGCTACTGCTTATCGATACCCTCCAACAGTCTATGGTGGGCTCATGCACTTTAATAAGTGCTACTATAGGACCTATAGAAGCAAAGATATTACTTTCTCCCATTCTACTCTTAATAAACTATGACTCCAAAAATGGCGGTAGGAGAATTTTACTTTATTTACGGTATCATGATGAATATACTTAAAATTCTATGAATATGCTTAGTGCCAACTGGTCTATTGATCAAGACATCAAAAGTTGCTGTGGAGGAGAATCAAGCTAGAGATACTCTCAAAGCTCCATACTTCTCTGTGTATATTCTTGTTTTCAGCCGCCGTTCGTGTTTGTCACTAGCTGTATATCTATATTCTATTTTTAACCATCTGTTTATATTTGTATGTTTATATACTTCCTGATAAGATCATCTTGACAAACACTATGATCAAGTGCATCCCCTTGCTAAATACCACCAGTGGGTTTATTTTCAGAATAATAATTTTCACTAATGGCCTGTAACCGGAGGTTCAAGGAACTAATTTTCGCGAATTGCCACTTTTTGCCCATCTTGTACCTTGTTTAAGGAATTTAATTTCGCGAATCTTTAAAAATCCGTGAATTTGTTATCCTCGAAATAAACCCACTACAGTATCAGTCATATGAACTTTGATTCATGACACTAGATACTGACTTGACAACCAAACTCTAGATGTAGACTACGCAAACACTTAATTTCGTGTCATCCCTTACAGTTGCTTTAGATCCAAGTCCAATTATCCCAATCAAGCTGCCCGCACTCTTTTTTTGTCTTCAGAATGATGCTCTAATCGTGACGCAAATATGAGACTCGAAGATGAATAATAAGGCCCTAACTAAGAAAAACATAAAGAAAATAACACCTAGAAGAACATACTTTAAATTATTTTCTGTAGAAAAGATCTTGCTAACACTACAACAAACTCTCGCTGCTCAGTTAGATCAGATCTTTCTCCAGTCCTCGCGCCCTAGTTATTAATTAAATTTAATTTATAATAGATAGCTCTATGAGCTACTAGCTAATAGTATTAAAAAATTGATTGGCTGGTCCATTAAATTTTGACCATTTTTATGATTTAAAAGTATCAAAAAAGCAATTTGATTTTAATCTATCCTTTAGCTCCTTACTATTTTTCATCTTCTCAGTACAATGGGTAAGTCCTCAGCCCTTGGTCTCATACCACAGTTTGCTAATGAACTGTATGATCAGGGAGAAGTATGTGGAATAATCAACCAAACACAACAAGAGCAAAACTCATGTAAGACCACAGCTCATTATTATTACACATGTACACTATATACTATATATATATATATATATATATATATACTGTGTGCTTTATCATTGCTATTTCATGTATATTTGTAGTTAAGAGTTAGAGAACACCCAGTGACGGGCCCCATGTTGAAGACTTATTGACGTAAGAAAGAAAATGAGAGGGAGAAGGAGAGAAGAGAAGAGATTAGAATAAAGAGCAAGAGAGAAAGGAACACAATACTTTTTTCACTTCTCTACTATACGTGCATACAGATACATGTATGTTGCATCTTCATTCACTAATATTGCATGAGATAATACTAAAACAGCTTGTGTTATTTATTTTATTATTTATTCTCCTTTTCTCATGCAGCAATGGCTAGCACTGGGTAACAGGTTCTGAGCCACAGCTGCCACTGGAATGAATAAGAGGAGCTCTTGCTCTCACTTAGTCTTCACACTATAGTACTCACTCAGTCAGACTATAAGGTGAAATATCAATATTGTTCTGATATCTTCATACTTCATATCTCATTCCCATGTATGCTTGTATATCTCATTCCCATGCCTTTATATCTCATTCCCATGCCTCCATCACTCATTCTCTACTTTTTATTATTATTTCAGCTTATTGAATGTGAGGATTACACTTGTGTCAATCGTATCATCTCATTGATTTGGCCGGCAGTGAGAGATCAGGCATTGCAATGACTTCTGGTGAAAGATTAAAGGTCAATCACTGATACTTAATTGATACTAACACTAAAAATTGAGCTTGATTTGATTGCAATATTGTATTGTATTATTTCAGTATCATTATTTATACATTTTATGTATATTATTGTAGGAAGGAGCCAGAATTAACAAGTCTTTGCAAACAGTATATACATGTACACTGGATAAAGTCATCACTGCTATGAGAGAAATCAACTGGAATAAGAATGAAGGTTTATACCTATTTTAATATATTAATATAGCAAATATTTTTTGTGTTTATTGACTTTATTCACATCTTTATGCTATGTAGAAAGTTTAGGCCAATTCCGAATTCAATTTTTCAAGATATGGCCATTTTAAAAAATGGCCAAAATTTGAAAAATACCCTGTACTATAGCCCATGCTTTTTTCCCAAAAAGTGGCTCCAAAATCACCCCAAATTTTTATTACATTTTCTGATGCATATTGATGTCCTTGTGCTATGTAGAAAGTTTTAGCTAATTCCGACTTCAATTTTTCAAGTTATGGCCATTTTAAAAAATGGCTGAAATTTGAAAAATACCCTGTACTATATAGCCCATTCTTTTTCCCAAAAAATGGCTCCAAAATCACCCCAAACTTTTGTTACATTTTCTGATACATATTGATGTTCTTATGCTATGTAGAAAATTTGAGCTGATTTCGACTTCAATTTTTCAAGTTATGGCAATTTTTTAAAATGAAAAAAATTTGAAAAATACCCTGTACTATAGCCCATGCTTTTTCCCAAAAAATGGCTCCAAAATCACCCCAAATTTTTGTTACATTTTCTTATACATATTGATGTCCTTATGCTATGTAGAAAGTTTGAGCCGATTCCGACTTCAATTTTTCAAGTTATGGCCATTTTAAAAAATGGCCAAAATTCAAAAATACCCTACAGCCCATGCTTTTTCCCAAAAAATGACTCCAAAATCACTTCAAACTTTTATTACATTTTCTGATACATATTGATGTCCTTATGCTATGTAGAAAGTTTGAGCTGATTCCGACTTCAATTTTTCAAGTTATAGCCATGCATTTTAAAAAATAGCCAAAACTTAAAAAATACCCTGTACTATAATAGCCCATGCTTTTTCCCAAAAAATGCCTTCAAAATCACACCAAATGTTTATTACATTTTCTGATACATATTAATGTCCTTATGTAGAAAGTTTGAGCCAATTCCAATTTAAGTTATTAAGTTATAGCCATTTAAAATTATGCCAAAATTTGAAAAGTATCCTGTATAATGTGCTTGCTCAAATAAGTGCACAAGGTAGGCAAGATCTGTAACAAGATAACACTTTGTGTTTTGCTGTTAAATGGATGCTATTGAATGGGAATTTCACTGTTAATTTTTTCTACTTTTGCTAATATTACACATTTCGCTAAATCAGAGTCTCCTTAAAAGTTCTATATAAAATTTAAGAGCACATTTAATACCCACCATAAGGTACTTGACCCCATGTCTGACATACACGTACATGTACATGTATTTCAACTGAGTTACACATATTGTTATTTACTAGGTACGATACAGTGGAGTGTAGAGGACACTGTTAAGCCAGTGTAATGTTCTGCTGTGCTGCCCTTTTATCTCAGTAGTTACTTAGCTCTGATCAGGTCTCTATCAATACTGACCCTAAATGTAATCTGAGAAAGCTAGCTGTGGCCTGGGACTACTTGGCTGTGATAAAGCAAAGTCATAAATGGAATAAGCTAAAGATGTCTAACTTATATACATGCATCTGATGAACAAAGAATGCCAAAGAAGAGAGCTACTAGGAATGATGGAATAGTGTACAATGTGAGTACATGTATACGTAATTTACTTTAGTTCAGTATTACATTTTATGGATGACAAAATTATCAAGGCATGATGTGTGCTAGGATAGTACTTGCTTAGTTGCTGCAATTAATTTTATAGGTTATTAATGTATACATAACATCCTGTGAATTATTATTGATAGTGCTAATGCAATGAGGTTTATTTTTTATACAATTACAATAGTTCACTTGATATAAATCTCATAGTATCCAACAGGTATGTCTTCATTATCAGTTCCCTCATCTCCACACACCCTCAACTCGATGTAATCAGTAGTGGTAGTGTTACCATAGTCTCTGTGAAACCATGGGATACCAGGAGCTGAACAACAAGCTTTGTCACTATAACGACAATCTTGACCATCCCATAGTATATTTGCAAAAAGTTGACCTGAGGCTGATTCACAGAAATAATGAGTCTCAATAAAAGGTGGTACTGGATAGGCACTGCCTCCAGTGGAACAAGGACAGTAATTATGTGACCATGAAGCAATTAGTGTCCAGACATGATTACGAAGAGATCCACGTGTAATACTAACACCATCAACATATGAACCATTAATGTTATCCTGATTTCCCCCAATCAGTCCATCAGGTGAACTATATTGATATCCCACTACTCTACCACATATCTGAGAATACCTAATACCATTAGATGGGAATTGAACTGAAGCACAGCTACCATCATTTGTTGCTGGTCTACCACAAGCTCTAACTCCTCCTGACTGGTACAGTCTAAACCCAGAAGGACAACTCTGTGTAGGATCAGACATGTTGAGATACGCTAGTCTTGTCCACCCTCCTGAACCACACCTGTCTTGTCCACAGTAGATATTATAAGTTGTGCCTCCTTTGCCTACTATCTTATAATGATCTGATGATGTATTTGGCCAGTAATTTCTAATATCATCACAAGCAACAGCCTGACAGCTGTGATCATAACCTACAAAGAATTATTAAAGTATCTGTACATTAAAAGAGCATTAGATCTACTTGAGCATCTCTTATAGCACTGGAGTAGAAGTATACACAAGAAAACTGATTTTAGCATTTTGGTTATAAGTGATGCACTGTAGTCAACTCTGGAAACTGTCCTGTTTTTACATACGTATTGTCTTGTTTTGATATCTTTAGACTGTTGTTTTGGTTAACTTAAACTAGTGGCATTTCATTTTTAGTAAACTAATAAAGGCAATAAAAAATATTTATTAATCGTAATGAAGAGTAAAGACATGTACACTACATATAAAATTGCCAGCAAATAAAAACTATATAATTATTCTGCAAAATAACCTTTAGGGAAAATTGATGTAGCTTTAAGTAATTAGCTATTGACTGAAAAGTGGTCAATTAGACTACAGGCTATAATGGTAGAATAGTTTTAGAAGAACCAATTATTTGTCAAATACTTATCATGCACCAGTTTTATAGACCCCATCGAGAAAGAGAGAGCATAACAGTATAAATAGTTTTAAGTTGCTAATTTTGGTGATGGCATAGATATATAATGCTAATAGCTAAAGTTACTTTATTTTATTCAAATAATAGCTATGTTATGAGTACAAATAATAGTTTTACTCAGTAGCTAGATCTACCACATAAAAATTGGTGAAACACCATTATACAGTGTCCAGTGAGGAGGCTATAAAATGCAATTTTGCAGAGAAATCAATTTCATATGAAAACCAATTAGCCATAGATCTAGAGAAAGGCAGCAAATAGAACTAAGATAGCCATGCAGTTGCACTAATAATTATTAGTGTGGTGCTACTAAGTGGCTGAACTTTAAGCAAGGGAGTTGGTACAGATGGTGTTTATTTATTTAAGATTTGTTTAATGAGCAGTTTTTAAGATTACTTTACCATCTGCTAACCCATGTAAAGTTATAATAAACTTTTATGTGAGGGAGTGGCATGAGTCTACAGTGTTTATTGTTATTGTTTGTTTGATAAATTTGAACAGCATTAAACAGATTACGTAATCATTACAAAACCTATTAATTATGAGTATATAAAGACAATCATTAATGATCGTTGTCATTGGACTTAAGCTAGTGCATGCCTAATAGTCAAGAAATGTCTTTCTTGTTCATAGCTATAGTTGTCTTCTTATTCTTCAGTAGCTTCTGCAGCGTCTCCTCTCATCAGTATTACGTGTCTGATGACTGCAGTTCAGTTACTCATACACCTTGTCATCCTTTATCAGTGTATGCTGGGAATATGTCTCAATACAATAACACGATCTTCTACTTCATTGGAACTAGTAGCATTAACAATGATGTTGGCATAAAGCTAAATGCTGTAAAAAATGTTACTCTACATGGACTTCATCGTTCTCCTAAAATTAACTGTTGGAATTATGCTTTTATTTTGGTCAACAACAGCATTTATATCATCATTTCTAACATGTTAGTTAGACATTGTCAGGTTTTTGTTAGATCCTCTACCAATATTACAATAACTGGCTCTTACTTTGCTGCATATGGATCTACATTAAGTTTAACAAATGTTTTTGATCTCAAGGTTTTATCATCAGTTTTCTTTGCTTATCATGTGAGACTTAGTTATGATCCTCTGACTGTATGTAGCAATGAGTTAATATATCACTCATTGATGGCTAATGTTACCTTGACTTACAGTAGAATGGAGCTACATATACTACATGGTACCACATACAATGTATCAACCATTTTTGATAACGTAGATTTCCAATACACATACTTTTGTATGGTTTTGCAGGATAGTCTTTTTTCTGTTTCTATTATCAAATCATCATTCCATGATGCTAATTCTGAGGCAATGATAATAGTTTTTGAGGAAAATTTGAAATCAGACAATTGCAAATTCTGCGATGCTTCATTAACTTCTACTATCATAATTGAGGACAGTCGTTTTTATTATAATTTTAAGGGACTTAGAATTTGTAGAGGCATGAACTTACATGAAGCAATGGACTATCACTTCATTATTAAATCATGTTTGATACATGACAATACATATGAAGGCTTATTCATTGATGGTCGATTCATGAGACTGACCCAATTCAATATCATAGATACAGAACTTATTGGAAATGGAGGGAATACGATAGTTTATAGCACAACTGTTACTATGTGCAATGTTACTGTTGCTAACAGTCACTCAACTGGATTGGCATTAATAAAATCGTCGGTAACAATTAAAAATAATTTCATATTTACCAACAACACTGGAACAGTTGGAGGAGGATTAGCAATAAATGACTCGTCAAAATTAATCTTAACATCATCAGCCAACTTAAAAATCATTAATAATCATGCTTCTTATAAAGGTGGAGGGATCTATGTTGATGAGTCAACAAATAGTGACGTAAAACTAGAGGCACCAAACATACCTCTTACACTAATGAATAATAGTGCTGGACTAGTTGGTGGTGACATATATGGATACTTTAAATCTCTAAACAAGAATCAGTTTAATTTGACAAACCAACACATTATTTCAACAGGTAATGCAAAGGAAATATGCTTTTGTGATCCTACTAATATACTTGAAAGCTGTTCAGATTTTGAGAATAATCAATATCCAGGTCAAACACTGAAATTTTTTGTGGCTTTGTTTGGTTACAATTACTTTGGATCACTAACTGCCACAGATGGTACAGTAAAAGTTTATGATGAATCCACTCCTTCCTTTTTCAGTCAAATATATATCACTAATACTTGCTCATTGATTGAATACACACCTAATCATGAAGGCCGCATAGTATTCCATACTGAACACATTAGTACTTATTTTAATTATACTCTTAATGAGTGTCCAATTGGTTTTAGTACAAGCAGTTCACAAGGTATCTGTACATGCAGTCCACGTGTTTCAAGAGAAAATGTGACGTGTAATGCTAGTAGCCTTAACATTAGTCATAATGGTCTACTGTGGATTGGAATACACAATACCAGAATACATTTTAATGCCAATACAACAAATCTTAGTGCCTGCATCATCAATGAGGACTGTCTCCTCTACTGTACTCCTAATCCTGTTACCTTCAAGTTGAATGACACTGATACTCAATGTGCAAATAACAGAGGACAGAGAATGTGTGGATCATGTACAGAGGGATACAGCCTACTAATGGGATCAAACAAGTGTGGACATTGTCCTAATAATTACATGGCAATAGCATGGGTTATTCTGTTTGCTGTGATGGGTGTACTACTTGTGGTTCTACTGATTGCTCTCAATTTAACAGTATCATTGGGTACACTGAATGGTCTATTGTTTTATGCTAACATTGTTAAGTTATATGAGCCAGTATTTTCAAGGAAAGGAGCATTGCCAGTTTTGAGTCAAGTGATATCATGGATTAACTTAGACTTTGGTAGTGAGATATGTTTTTACAATGGTATGGACAGTTATGCTAAGCAGTGGCTCCAGTTTGCTTTCCCCCTCTACCTGTGGATCATTATCATTATCATTATACAATTGTGTAGGAGATATGGTAAGATATCAAGACTAATGGGGTCTCATGCCGTTCCTGTTTTATCTACACTCTTCCTTCTCTCATATACTAAACTAGTACGTACTATTGTTATTGTACTACACAAGCGTGAAGTAACTCTTCACTGTACAAATGAGTCAGTAAGATCAGTTAGTTTATGGTATGAGGATCCTAATGTTGAATATGCTAAAGGAAAGCATGCTGTACTATTTGCATTTGCTTTAATGGTAGCTGTCTTTTTTATCATACCATACACACTGTTCCTTTTACTTAATTCTTTTTATGAGAAGCATCTTTCCAATTTTAAAGTTTTAAAGAAAGTTTGGAATCGTTTCAAGCCTATTATTGATGCCTATAGTGGTCCAATGAAAGATGAGTATCGGTTCTGGCCTGGCCTACTGCTACTTGCTAGGATACCAGTACTGTTATCAGTTACTTTAGTTGACAGTTTCATTCAGTCACAGCACTTTCTATTGGCAATGCTATTGACTGTGTTAGCAATTGTGCTGTCATTGGGTTATTGTTTTGGTGGAGTATACATGAAGAGAATGAACAATGCTATTGAAACATGGTTCTTGTTTAACCTATGTATCATGGTTGGTTTGTCTGTTGCTCTTAATGACAAGAGTAAAGTTTTGATATGGTACAATACTTGTTTATCTGTATTTCTTTTTAGTTTTATTTTGATCATTGCCTATCATTTTTACCTGCAGTTATCATATATGAAGTGTTGCAATACTCTAATTAAGGGGTTTACCAAGAAACAAGATGAAGATGATAAACCTCTTTTAGACATGACTGAATCACATAAAACTGTCGATCAACAAATGCAAGAAATTTTACCAACTTTTTCTAGTGTTAAACTTAGTGATAGTCGTGAATCAGTTGTTGATTTGTTTTAATTTTGTAATTTTGTAGATTTTTAGTACTAGATAGTCGTGACTCTGTTGTAGATTTGTTGTAATTGTGTAATTTTGTAGATCTTTTTTCTAATGCCAAGTTTAATTAATCATAATTACATATTATAATAGTTGTCCAAGTATGTTTAATTTGAGAAAATACTTGTGAGCATAAGCAATGTAAAGTTGATATAATCGCCTCTGCGAAAATAAATTCTAATTTCTATTGTGCAAACTATTCCAGTCACAGTACTATTATAATTTATATAATCCAGGGTTTCCTTTTAAAACAGGGAAATCATTTCCCTGATTTATCATTAACTTCCTTCTTGAACTGATTTGATTAAAATCCAATTTGATCAAAATAAACTGAAACACAAGAACATGCATATGCATCAAAGTTTTCCATCAAATTTTAAAATAATTATTAAAATTTGGAAAAGAAATACAATTTTGATGATTTTGATGTGAATAAGTTTAAACTTCCATGTATAATTATATAATATAAGAATATGCATGTGTATGTATCATGCATTAAAATGGAATAAAAATAAATAATTGTACCTTTTAGTAATTAATTATTTTTAATTTTTCAGCAATACAAAAATTAATCCATACATAATGTATCAAAATGATATTGCAAGTACAATAGTTATTATTCAATAATTATTTGACATAAACCTCATAATAATCAACAGGATTATCTTCATTGTTATCACTGCCACACACCCTCAACTCAATGTAATCAGTAGTGATATTCCTACCATAGTCTCTGTGAAACCATGGGATACCAGGAGCTAAACAACAAGGAACCTCATTTTCTCGGCAATTATGCCCATCCCAAAGTGGATCAGATGGATAAAGATTTGACGATGCACTATTAAGCATATTACCTGATTCACAGAAATAGTCACTACCAATAAAAGACTGCAATGGTGCTGTACCTCCAGTATTACAAGGGCATGTATATGATGAAGTAATTATTTCACTAAAACCAGCCATTAGTGTCCAGACATGTTGACGAGGAGAACCACGAGTGATGCTAACACCATCAACATAATAAGAGTTGATATCATTAGCATAAGGATTGTTATAAGCAACATTTGTTGAGCCATACTGATATCCCTTTACTCTACCACATACTTGAGAATAGCAGATACCATTGGATGGGAACTGAACTGAAGCACAACCTGGTACAAGTTGTCTCCCACAAGCTCTAACTCCTCCTTCCTCATGCACTCTAAACCCAGAAGGACAGCTCTGTGTAGGATCAGTCATATTGAGATATGCTATTCTTATCCATCCTCCTCCTGAACCACACAGCTCCTCCATATTGCAGTAAGCAGAATAGTTGGTTGATCCATTACCTGCTGCTAACACATAATACCCTGATGGACTGTTAGGGAACTGGTTAAGAATTTGCTTACAAGATGTGGGAAGAAAATTACTAAGCATTAACACTGCCAATGCTTCTCTTGTTATTACTAGTACATCATCAACCACTCCAGCAGTAGAGGTACTGATGTCTTGCAGAATAGAAAAAATGTTGTTAACATTAGCAAGGATGGTAGTTACATTAGTAAGAGCATTGGTAACATCATTAAGATCTTGTACTGATTTACTGGCAGTTTGCAGGATCTGTGCATTAAGCTCAGTAAATTCATGAATACTTAAGGTAATGTTGGTATTCACTCTATGCACTACATCATTAGTCTGTTGTGTAAAATTAGAATAGCTCTTTTTAATATTATGCACCACATGATCAGCCCATTGTGGAAAGGTCTCCCTAACCTTGGTGTTTACTTTGTCTACCACATCATTAGCCCATTGCGTGAAGTTAGGAAGTTTCTCATCATAGATAACACCATCAATCAATCCAGTAAAATTACAGTCAGTAGCACTAGCATCACTGACTGGTTTTACAAATATCAGAGCTATTACTAAGCAAAGTATAGTAACCAGTAGTGCTAGTATTAAACTTAATAGTACAGTGAGGACAATGACTGGCTTGCTCCATGCTGACCTCTTTGGAGCATCTTGTATCACAGATCCTGCTTCTTTTACTGGTTGCACAATTCTCCTTTTATCGAGATTTACATGTTCATATGTATTATTATCTTGAGTTGGTTGATGTACAGTTGATTGACCTGACACTGATCGATAGTATGCCTCATTCACAAAATTATTATCCATTACGTTTACTATTTACTCACTGCAGCTCTCAACCAAAATATTTTGTGCTTTTATCTTAATGAGCACTCTGTTGTTGTTTATAAAAAAGCTAAAACTTAAAGTGGTTCCAAGCATCGTCATGTATAACACATGTGATCATGTATCGTTTGCAATAACAGATGACTGAGACAACATCATAAGGACTTAGTTAGTTATACATGTGTTAAGCATAAACAACAGCCACATAAATAAACAGTGTGGGGCAAAATAAAACAAAAAATTGGCTAAATAAGCAATCACTTTAATGGTTCGAAAATCATTTTCAGTCACTTGTATGACCATATAGCTCTGTACAATTAAAAATTAATCTAGATCTAGACAAAAATTAAAATTTTATGACCTTGTAGCTAGCAAGTTTAAATCATATCAGAAATTTCTATAATATCATTGTGAGTAAAATGATAGCAAATTTTTAAAAAAGTGTCATAGATCTACACTGTTCATAAAAGTTTCGGTTTACATTACAAAAATGCTACCATACAGCTTCGTAATTTAAAAGGGGCAAAATCGCAATAAATTTTATAATTAAATTTAGTGAATTAGTGGCCATAATATCATTGCATTAATTAAATGGTAGGTTTCCCTAAACCCCTTTGAAAGCATGTTTTTCATCAAAATAGTACCATTTCATACTGAAAGTCACTGAGTCACTGAGTAAATTAATTATTGACGTATTGATATATTAATGCTTATTAAATCAATCTTTAGGTAAACAACATATCAAGACAAATCTAGTCACAACTGCAGACAGGTCTAAAAGTACTTAAAGGTTAAGCTATTAGAGGTTATAGTGGGACGAAAATAAGAATGTGACTGCGTGTGAAGAGTGATCAATAAAAAAGTGCCAATCCTCTGCTATTAGACTACACACACTACCATTGAATGTGTGCATCAAAATTATATGACCAGGAAAAATTGCTAATCAAACTAGTTGAGGAAGAGCATATGCACATGTAAATATAGTATACAAATATTGTACCATTTGACAGCAATAGCTTCATCTAATGTCCTGTGTACTAAAATAATGCAATGAACTAAGTCAAATGGTGAACATAAACATTATGTACTCTTGACATAAATTATAGCTAAATTAATTTCAGCAACTCCCACGCAAAAAGCAGCAAATCCACAACAGAATATTCACTCATTAAAATCATCAGCATTACATACTAGTCTAGTAGGCAGGGTTGGCACAAATGATGCTGAGCAATTAAGTTGAACAGTAATGGCAAGAAGCTCTGTATAGTCAGTGGTCATTTGCTCATTTATAGAGCAACTGAAAAAATGATAAAGATCAATACAAAAGTACATGTATGTGTTCATTTCTCAATTCATGAATAATTTCAGTAAAATTGATATTAAGCTATCTCAATATCTTTTCCAAAAGCCTAACATAACTAAAAGTTTTCAAACTAAACTACATACAAGACATGACAATAATATTGCAGCAAAAAAATTATTCTGTCAGCAATTAATTCTTATCCTTTTGTTCTTCAGAACGCTGATCCAACTCATATGATTCTGGATCTGCTTCAGGATCATCATCTAGAGGTATAGGTTTTGTTAGTGGGGACTGAGGAGAATTCTTCAGATCTCTTTTCATTTTTTGTATGCAGAATATTGCCACCAGTATAAGAACAATCACTCCAATAATAACAGTCAAAGCAACAAAAACTATCACAAGAAGCACAGACAATGAGGCTGATGATGGTGTCAGAGAAGGAGAAGATGTTGGGCTTGAAAGTAATTCTTCTATACAATTAAAATAATAATATGTATTGATTTTAATAACCATAAATGTACCACAATTAATTCCTGTATATCCATCTAAGCAACTGCATACAGTGTCTCCAGCAATCAAACTACAAGTCCCTCCATTCACACAAACATTCTCTTCACATTCATAAAGTACTAGAAATAATAGCAATGTCAATATGACATGTCTAATACGTCAAGTACCACATTATATTTAGTCTATTACACTACCTGATTGATTGCAAGCTATTCCTTGATATCCTTCAGAACAGAAGCAACTATTGTTACCAACACATGCTCCATTGGCACATGGAGGATCACAAACAGCTTAAAA